ACACACACACACACACACACTCGCAAAGACACACACACTCACACACACCCGCTCACTCACTCACAAACGCACACACACACACACATTCACCCATTCACTCGCTCACAAAGACACACACACACACACTGCCATACGTGGTGGTCTTGCCCGCGTCGATGTGTGCCATGATGCCAATGTTGCGGATGAGCTCAAGGTGCTCGTCGGCGCCAGCCTGCTGGCCCGTCGCTGCCGCTGCTGCTGCCTGCTTGTGATGCTTCTTACTCCTAGCCACCACGCCGCGGGACAATCCCCGCCGCGCATTCATCACTGCAGCCACTCCCCATCGCGCACACCTGCCCAGCAACAACCTCCCACCACCACCACCACCAAGCAACACGTTCATCATCATCGCCAGCCAGTGTGCAATCGAATCATCAACGCAACGCGAAAAAACGGATACACTCGTCGTTGTTGTTGTTGCTGTTGTTGAGGGTGTTGTTGTAGTTGCGAGGGAGCGAGAGTCGTGTGTGCGAGAGTGCGAGTGTGTGAGCGTGTGTGTGGTGTGAGAGGAGGGGCGACGCATCCCCTCTGGCCATGTCATACGATGTGGAGCGGCGGCTGCGCGAACGCCTTGAGAAGATGCTGGGCGGGCACAACGAGATCCGCCACCGCTTCTACGATGGCATTGCAAAAGAATACCACACCGATGTCCTCTCCAACACATCGGTCGCTGCCAACGCTGACGGCGAAGACCAGGAGGACCGCGACGCAAGTGGCGCTGTGCGGCACACGGAGCAGCGCAGGGCATCGGCGCCCATGTCAACGGCAGAGCAAGCCAAGCTCAGCACCCAAGTGGAATACGTCGTCGTCGGAGGCAAACAGGTGCAATGACATGCTGTGCTATGGCTGTTGTTGTGTCGTGCCTTGGAAACGTGCTGCGTAGTGGTGTGGGTCTTGTTGTGCAAGTACGCTGTGATGGCAAGCGCATGCTTGCGTGTGGCGTGTGCTTGTCTGGCTGCGACTCGATCCTGCCACAAGCCACCCAGGGAAAGGTCTTTCCAACTCACTGACACCTGCTACCTGTTTGGTCTTGCTGAATGCTGTGTCACCGTGGTTGTGCGTGTAGGTGGTGACGAAGCTGAAGACACCCATGCATCGCAAGACGGTCCTTCCACAGGAACGAGATACCAACACGCAACCGCAGCCCAGATGGTGTGGTTCCCTGAGCTGCCACTCTGCTCGTGACGTGCCTCGCCTTCTCGCTACGCCTGGCCATTCCATTCGTCCCGTTTTTTCCCCACGTCACACAAACACACAAGCTGACACACACGCACACACCGTCCCCCCCCCCCACTTTCCCTTAACGTGTGCCCGCACCCTGTTGACGGCTTCACGCAGGCCAACGGACATTGATATGGTGTATCCTGCGCCCTCGTTTCCATACTACAACGCCCCTGAGCCTGAGCCATTCCACCAACGCGCTGACCCAGGTGCGTGTGTGCATGTGTCTGCTGTGAGTGTTTGTGTGTGACTCGTTGCTGCTGTGAGACAGCCCTTCCTTCCCGGTCGTGCTCACGCGCCTTCATGTGCTTCGCGCACACACACACACACACACGCACACACACACACCCTCCCCCTTCTTCTCCTGCGTCTGCAACAGGGTACGTGGAGCGACTGCGTGTGCGTCTGATTCGCGGAACCGGCCCAGTCGTGTACGAGCGCCGCATCAGCCCTGCACCACAGGTCAACCCTCTCATGCACACCATGGAACCTGCAGCCTGTTGGCGTCATCGCGTCGCTGCCTCATGAGTCTACCATCTACACACACATACACACACGCACATTTTCACGCACGAACACGCTTATTCACACACTCACTGTGACCACTATCGCTGCTGCTGCTGCTGCTTCCGCAGTTCCTGCCATCACGCGTGCGTGAATACACACCCATTTCAGAGGAGAGCGATACCCTGAACGCAATCAACGGTGACAATGGATCCAACGGCGCATTGCGTCATGCAGTGGATGCGGACGCCGGGTCCGGTGCTGTTGCGTCGAGTGGAGCAGCTGGCGATGAGGACCATCTGCACTTCGACTCCTGTTTTGAAAGCGGCAATCTCCAAACAGCCACAAAGATGTATGCTTTGTTTGTGCGGTGTGTGTGTGTCTGTCTGTCTGTCTGTCTGTGCGTGCGCACGTGTGTGTGTGTGTGTCTGTGTGTTTCCACGTGGCTCTTGATCTGCCTTCTAGCTGCCTCACTGCTTGCGTTGTTATGGTATCTGAGCACACTTGCCTACTACGCATCCGTGAACACTCACGTCACCTCTCTGCACATCATCATCATCATCATCATCATCGTCATCATCATCATCATCATCATCATCATCATCATCATCATCAGTGGGCCGACGGAGTACATGCTTGACCTGTCCACCGACTTGTACACGACACGACACACGCAGTGGTTCTTCTTCCGCGTCACCAACATGAAGGGAGGCGAGACGTACACGTTCAACATCATGAACCTCCTCAAGGTGATCCTGGGCTAGACATGCTGATGGTCGCATCCCCTGTGTGCGCGTGTGTGTGCACGCGTGCATCCATTGTTCTGTTGTATGCAAGCCTTCCTTGCTGCTGCGCCTTCACGCTTTCACACATACTTGCTCACACACACACACACACACACACACACACACACACACACACACACACACACACACACACGGCTACCAACCAACCCACCCACCCAGTCTGACAGCTTGTACAACCACGGCATGCAGCCCGTGGTGTTCTCCGGCCACCTCTACAAATCACGACAAATCGGGTGTGAAATTGTGAAATGTTTGGAGGGGGAAGCGATCAAAGGCAGAGACGCAGAATGCACACCCACACACGCACACACAACAACAACAACAACAACAACAACAACAACAACAACAACAACAACAACAACAACAACAACATACACATGGTCATTGGTTGCGTCTTCATGTGCTCATTCCTGACACTCACCGCTTCCCCACTGCACTGTGGTTTGCTCGAGTACAGGTGGCATCGTGGTGGTGACAACGTGTGCTACTTCCGCAATCACGTGAATGTCAACGATACAGATCGCCACCACTACACGCTGTCCTGGACATTCAAGTTTCCCGCCAACAACGACACCGTCTACTTTGCCCATTGCTATCCGTACACTTACTCCGTACGTGCGCGTGCATGGGTGTGTGTGTGTGTGTGTGTGTTTGTATGTGCACGTGCATGCGTGTGTGTGTGCGTGCGTGCACGTGCGTGTGTGTGTGTGTGTGTTGTGTTTGTATGTGTGCGCGTGCATGCGTGTGCACGTGCGTGTGTGTATGTGTGTATGTGTGTCTTTGTGTCTGTGTCTGTGTCTGTGTCTGTGCCAAGTCCAAACTCCATCGTCCGCACCATTGCCATTCATATGTCACACCATTCCCCCCCCCCCCCTCAAACACCACCACAGGACCTGCAACACTACATCACGGCGCTCATGCAGTCTGAGAGCTCCAAGAACATCTGCCGCCACCGCGTCCTCTGCCGAACACTCGCGGGAAACGTGTGCGACCTTCTCACCGTCACAAACTTCGGTGTTCCGCAGGCGGAGATGGAGACCCGCAAGGTCCGTGCTGGTGTGTGTGCGTTTATGTGCTCATGTGTATGTGTGTGTTTATGTGCATAGGTGTATGTGTGTGTGTGTGTGGTTATGTGCGTAGGTGTGTGTGTGTATTTATGTGTGTGTGTGGGTGTGTGTGTGTATTCATGTGTGTGTGTGTGTGTGTGTGTGTCATGAGTCGTGTCACAGTGTCGTCTCACATCATCATCATCACCACCTCTGGTTGCGTCAGGGCGTGATCATCACGGCGCGAGTGCATCCTGGTGAAACAAACGCATCGTGGATGATGAAAGGATTTCTGGACTTTATCACCGGAACAACAGAGGACGCACAGGTGTGTTGTTTGTGATGCTGCGACACGCGTACAAGAGCATGTGTAACACGTTGACGCAGTGTTCATTGTTGACTCCCCCAACACACGCATACGCACGCACAGACGCATACGCACACACACACATATCCGTGCTCACACCTGTACACACACGCACATATGCACACCTGCATACACCAGCTGCTGCGCGACAACTTTGTGTTTAAGATTGTGCCGATGCTGAATCCTGACGGCGTGATCGTCGGCAACTACCGCTGCTCCCTCGCGGGCGTCGACCTCAACAGGACATACAAGCACACCATCCGCGAGCTCTACCCAACCATCTACTCCGTCAAGGTGTGTCACTTGTTTGTGTATGTGTGTGTGTGTTTGTGTACATGGGTACATGGGTATATGTGTATGTACGACAAGATGCCAATCATGCACTTCTGTTGACGGTTCCATCACCGTCACCGCGCCACCGCCTCTTCGCCAGATTATGATGCAACGGCTGGCACGGGATCGCCCTGTGGTGATGTACTGCGATCTCCACGGGCACAGTCGAAAGCACAACGTCTTCATCTACGGCTGCAACAACAGGACCAACCCAGACAGACTGCTCACCGAACGCATTTTCCCGCTCATCATGCACCTCAACGGACAGGCACACTTCTCCTACAAAAGGTGTAGTTGTGTGTATTTGTGTGTGTATGTGTGTGCGTGTGTGTGCGTGTGCGTGTGTGTGCGTGTGCGTGTGCGTGGGTGTGGGGGTGGGGGTGGGGGTGAAGGCGTGGGTGGATGTGTTTGCCGCCCGATATTTCCTTGCGACAACCCTGCTCATTCATGTTCTGGGTGTTGACAGCTCCAAGTTCAGCGTCAAGAAATGCAAAGAGTCGACGGGCCGTGTTGTCACGTGGAGGGAGCTGGTGAGTCATCAATGGCATCATCGCACGTTTGTACCAATGCTACTTGATGCTTGTTGTCCGCTCGTGCGTGACACACACGCTTGTTATGTATTCATGACACACACGCACATTCACGCACATCCACGCACATCCGCGTACATACACACATGCTACAGAACATTGTGAATGCGTTTACGATGGAGGCGACATTCTGTGGCAGTACCATGGGGCGGCTCAAGAAACGCCAGTTTCGACCATGTGTGTGTGTGTGTGTGTGTGTGTGTTTTGGGTGGTTGAGACAGAGAGAAAGCATGAGAGTGCGGGTGTTGGTTGGGCGATTGGTACTTGATTCGCACATGCACCCACACGATGTGTTGTCGTTCATGATTCGTGTGCAGGCGACTTTGAGGAACTTGGTGAGATATTCTTCGACTCGCTGCTTGATTACTGCGACCCGGACCAAGCTAAGGTGTGCACACTTGTGCATGGACGGCTGCACGACTGTGCGCATGTGTTTGTGTGTGTGTGCGTGTGTGTGTGTGTGTGTGTGTTTGTGTGTGTGTGTGTGTGTGTTTGTGTGTGTGTGTGTGTGTGTGTGTGTGTGTGTGTGTGTGTGTGCTCGTTCATTGTCGCCATTGCTGCGTCGTCACACTTCACCACCACCGTCATCACATGCGCAACTGTTCTCTCTCAGCACATCTCACCCTTCACTGCCTTGTGTGCGTGTGCAGACGAACCTGCTGTGGTCGCGTCTGCGATCAGAGGCGATGCAGCGGGGTGCGGATGTGCACACGGGCGCCTCCGGCCTCAGCGCCCTCCTCGCTGACCCGGCCAACAACGACGACGACGAGGACGACTCGCCAGGGTCAGACAGCTCCCCGTCGGAAGGCGAGACGGAGAAGGCAGAGATCCGCTTCCGGTTTGGCGAGCGCGCCCTGCACGACGCTGCTGCGAAGAAACAGGCAGGATTGCGTTTGCAGCTGCTGCGGCGCGCAGACTCGGAGCCCTCGGTGCTGGCGGGGGGCAAGAAGACGGGCAGTGCAGGCAAGGGCAAGACGCGCAGGAAGAAGAAGAAGAAAACAAAGGGGAAACACAGACCACCCGAAGACTTTCCAGGTAACTGGCGGCGTGTGTGTGTGTGGGGGGGGTGTCTGTGTGTGTGTGTGTGTCTGTGTGTGTGTGTGTGGGGGGGGGGTCTGTGTGTGCATGTGCGCCATGGTGTTGTATTGCATGTCTGTATGTCTGCCTGCCTGTGATGTACGATGTAAGCACGTTGACGTTGTTTCATGCGACACGATGCACGTTTTTCGCCTGTCACTTTTCACCCACCACCATCCACACGCTTCATCTTGTTCGTTGTCATCAACACAACAGAGGATGCCGATTCGGAAGACAATGATGACGACGACGATGATGACAATGATGACAATGAGAGTGAGGGTAGCGGGCGCATGTCACGCTCATCGAGTGCGAGCGCGTTCGCTTCAACACCGACACGCCGCCGCCGCAGGTCCAGCATGAGCAGGTGTGTGTGTGTGTGTGTGTGTGTGTGTGTGTGTTTGTTTGTTTGTTTGTTTGTTTGTTTGTTTGTTTGTTTGTTTGTTTGTTTGTTTGTCTGTTTGTTTGTTTGTTTGTTTGTTTGTTTGTGTGTGCCTGTGTGTGTGTGTGTGTGTGTAACGCGTGTCCCTGTTGAACTGCTTCCAAGATTCACATGACCTTTCTTGGTTGCAGTCGCCTCCGCGAGAAGTACAAGCGCCTCTCCAATCGCGGCATTCCAACATTCGCAAACGTATGCGCACGCAACACCCCGTGTCTCCTCCTGCACCGCTGTGACATGCTCTGAAGATTGCGCTTCCCCTCCCAACCATCACCACCACCACCAACCAACAAATACCATGCACTTCAACCTCACCAACAACAACAACAACAACTACTACTACTACTACTACAACAACTACAACTACAACTACAACTACAACTACAACTACAACTACAACATCATCATCACCATCATCATCATCATCATCATCATCATCATCATCATCATCATCATCATCATCATCATCATCATCATCATCATCATCATCATCAGGATCGCGTTGCTGCCCGCGCCGCCCGCAAGAGCGCAGCGGTTCATCGCGATGACGACGGTGACAGCAGACGCCCTGCTATCACTGAAATCTCCCCATCCGTCCTGGTGCGTGTGTGCAAATATCACGTGCGTGTGCGTGTGTTAACCCGTGTGGTTATGCGGCGTTGCACAGCTGTAGCATCCTCTCTCTCTCTCTCTCTCACCCCCACGTATCCTTCCCCTCCCCATCATTTTGACATCACGCCCTCTTGCCCATGTGAAACCCCTCCTCCCGTTTTGCAGGATTTTGTGTCGTCTGGGGATGAAGTGCGGTCAACGCGCTCAGCGTCCATCGGATCACCGACTGCAATCACAAACGCAATTTCTGGCCGAAACAACAACAGGTGAAGTGTGAGCCATGGCTCATGTCATGCTGGTGGACTCAATAAGCTGCCTCGCATCTGTACAGCTGAGCCGGTGGTTCACACACACACACTCTCTCTCTGCCTTGCTGGCTCTCTCCCTCTCACTTGCACGCACGCACACTCTCTCGCTCACACGCACGCACACTCTCTCACTCTCTCACTTCCTTCCCCCCCCCCTCTCTCTCACCACAGCTGCCGGTCGTATGCGTCGAGTCCGCGAATGGGCCGCAGCGGACTGGCGACGAGCGTGCGCGCAGAGTCGCTCAGCCCAAAGCTACTGGCCAGGGGCCTCTCACCCGCGGCCAAGCACGTCGGTGGGTGGGGCACTGCTGCTGCATACACGCACAAATGCATACACATACATATGCATACACACGCACACACGCACACACACATACACATGCACGAGCGCATGTACGCATGTGTGTGTATAAGTTTGGAGTGTACGTACGCTCGTTCACCCTTGTCTATCCGCCATCATTTTGGTTTCGCAGACGGGAGCACAGAAGACCTGACGGAACTCACTTCATCGCAACAGCAGCAGCATCACCACCATCCACAGCCACCGAACAAACAGCAGCAGCAGCAGCAGTTGGGTGGAGAGGCGGCTGGCAACGACAGTGGAAACAGTGGAGGCCATCATGAGCGGATGAAGGCAGGCGAACTTCCAACGCGTGCGCGCAGCAGGATGAGCAGTGCAAGTGCACATGTTCGTGGCGGCTCAACAAGCAGCATCGTGCCTGCATCATCGCTCACTCACATCCATCGAAGCATGAGCTTCACAGCACAGGTACAACAACACACGCACGAAGACGATGACGACGAGGCGTCACACCCGCCGCCACAACGCCACTTGAGCACGCAGTTCCTGCAGCTTGACGTTGATTTCGATTCACAGCGAAAAGGAGCGCGCCAACCGCATCCGCCGTGGTACGACAACACCCATCTCCAACGCCAGGGCTCGCACCACCAGCACTACCAGCACCAGCATCGTGAGACGAGTGTGGCTGCGATGACCATGAGCCACGCCGACATGCAGTGGCACTCGAGTCACCAGCACATTGATGCGCAGTTCTCGGAGGATGTGCGTGTGCTGCATGCCATGTCGTCGTCATCGTCGTTTTCCCACACCAGTCGGCGCACGTCTCGATCCAGCAGGCGTGGCGCAGGTTTGCAGCAGCACGTGCACCATACTCCCTCGCACCACCACAGCCAACACAGCCAACAACAGCAGCAGCGGGGCGCTGGTGCAACGAGGTGGCATGTTGCAGAGTCGCGTGTGTCTGGCAGTCGCAGTCAGCACACTGTCACGTCGACACACCGCACTGCTGCTCCACAGACGCGCGTGCGTGCGTCGTCTGCGCGTGTGTCGCCAGCGAGATCGCGGCGTGCCGGCAGCAGCAGCAGCATCGGCGATACAAGGGTGAGGGACAAGGACAGAGAAAAGGACAGGCTGAAACAACGTGATCACACGAAAGCAACAGCGACAGCGGAGGCAACGACAGCAACGACAGCAACGACAGCAAGAGCAACGGATGGCGGAGACGACGCGAGCACGTGTTCGAGTGGCCGGAGCGGTTCACGACGGCGCTCTCGATCTGTGGAAAAATTGCCCATCGAGCACGAACCAGCGCACAGGTGCAATTTCCGTGCTCCAGTGTTTGTGTGTTGTCTGTGTCTATGTGTCTGGGTGCGTGTATGTGTGTGTGTGTGTGTCTGTCTGTCTGTCTGTCTGCCTGTCTGTCTTCCTCTTCTTGTGCACAACGTTCGTTGCGGCTTTCTGCTCTCATGCGGCAGTGCGGTTGGCTCCTCCTCCTCCTCCTCTGCAGACCGTACCCTGCTGGCACGCTGAGCTCTCTCTACGAAAACAAGTTTGGACACGTCCACCCTCGCGAGGACTTGCGCGAATCGTACGTCAGCAAACCCAAGCACTCGTGCTTGTACATCCACCACACTGCACAAGGCTTCACTCACTCACTCACTCCCTCACTCACTCCCTCACTCACTCTGTGTTCAGGTCGGCTCGTCGTGTACACACGGGTCTGTTGCAGCGGCAGCAGCAGGTTGCGCAGGATGAGGGCACGCGCCACGCTGGCGACCACCCAACAGCACGCCGCGAGTAGCACGCACCCACGAACGCCAATTGTGGCATGCACTGATGTGATGTGATGCCGACTTTGGCATCCGATGCTGATCGCTGGTGTGAAATTTTGGCAGCAGAGATGATACGAGGGAGGGTTTGTGATGCACAGAGAGAGAGAGAGAGCGTGTGTGTGTGTGTGTGTGTGTGTGTGTGTGTGTGTGTGTGTGTGTGTGTGTTTGTGTGTGTGTGTGTGTGTGTGTGAGGTGTACGCGCACGCGCACACATGCGAGTGAGTGGTTGACTGGTAACATGACTGTTCTGAGGATACGAATGCCAACGTTGTGTTCGCGGATCGCTTTGATGAATGAATGCACATCTTGATTGTTCTTGTTGATTGAAGATAGCAGTAACACAACGCTCCAACATTAAACAAACCAAGCTTCGCCAGCCACATTGGTAATCCAGTGTAACAGTTCAAGGCTGCGAAGCAATGTGATTGACAGCAAACACTCCGGGTGTTTGCATGTGTATCGCTCAACCATCCCCGCGTTCTCTCTCACTCCTCAAACACATGCACGAGGGTCTTCTTGTTGACTTTTCCCATTGCATTTCTGGGAATCTCGCTCACAACCTGTGCATGCGTATGCGTGTGTATGTGTGTGTGTGTGCGCGTGTGCGCGTGTGCGCATACGTGTGTACGTTTGTGTGTGTGGGTGTATGTGTGGGTGTGCGTGTATGTGTGTGTGTGTGTGTGCGTATACGAGTGTAAGTTTGTGTGCGTGTGTGTGTGTGTGTGTGCGTGTGTGTGTGGATGGATGGATGGGTGAGCAGTTAGTTCGAAGGGTAAACATGCGCAGGACACACAAACGTACACACATACACAATTCACACATACACGTGTACACATACACACTCACACACCACACACATACACACACACTCACACACTCACACACATACACACATACACACACAATGCGCACCTTAAGGAGCCGCGGGCGCTTGTAAACTGTCAGTCGGTTCTCCAGCGCAGCGTTCAACCGCTCCAGTGTAATCTCATCACCATCACCATCACCATCACCATCACCATCACCATCACCAGTGGACGGGACAATGATGGCACCAACAATCTGACCCATGTCCTCATCAGGAACGCCGACAACTGCGCACTCCTGCACGAACGACAGCGCAAGCAATTCCCTCTCAATCTCCAGAGCGGACAGCTTGTACCCGCCAACCTTCAATATGTCCGCGCTCATGCGACCAAGGACTGCGTATGAGTCAACAGAGGGGTCGTAACGCACGCGGTCACCCGTCTTGAAGTAGCCTGTATGTGGCATGGTCATGTGCGGTTGTATTGATTGGTGGTGATCGGTGCGGCAATTAGTGTGGACTGATGTGGATTGATGGATGGTAAGGAGTGGTGCTCGTGGTCAGTAACACCAACATTCGAGCCAAATGAAACATCACACAAACACACAGCCTGAGTCGCAAGCGTCTACACACGCGCACATGCGCGCAGAACACTTCTGACACAAACACGAACCTTCATCATCAAACTCCTTTCGCGTTGCTTCCTCGTTGTTGATGTATTCGGCAAACACATTCGGGCCTAAGACCCTCAGCTCCCCTTCAACAGTGTCACTACCATCTGTCGTGGTATGTGTGTGTGTGTGTGTGTGTGTGTGCGCGTGCGCATGAACACTATTTGTCGGGCGAGTGCACGTGCGTTCGTCGACTCCTCCGGCATCGCCCAACCATCCGTCCAACCATTCATGTATGCATGCAACCAAGCGTACCTGTGACCTGTGGACGGCGTAACGTTTTCAGCTCTTCTCCAAGCGATTCCAAACGCGTTCGGTCAACCTGTCACCATACACACACAATGAGGGCAGGCGGTTACGACACGTGAGCATGCATGTGTGCGTGCATGTATGGTTGTGGGTTTGTGAGCGAACGCGCATACGAAGTTCCCAGTTGGCCAGCACCATATGTGGCACTTGCACACACACACACACACCCTCTCTCTCTCTCTTTCCCGTCATCATCATCGTCATCGTCATGGCGTACGCTGGGGCGGGTGGCGAGTTTCGTCCAGTCCAAAGAAAAGTCCGCAGCTCGGCAGTCGTACGTGCATGCGCCGTCATCACCAACAATCTGCGAGGCAAGGAGAAGAGAGAGAGAGAGAGTGTGTGTGTGTGTGTGAGTGTGTGAGTGTGTGTGTGTGTGTGTGTGTGTGTGTGTGTTTGTGTGTGTGTATGATGCACACGTGTGTGAATACAAGTACGACAACACTCAACCCTGACACGCACGCACGCACAAAAAAAAACGATAACCTGTCCCCACCAACATCACCACCATCACCATCACCGCCACCAATGTCACCATTGTGCATTGCACCACACCTTGACGCGAACGTTGTTAAAGGGACGACCAACGAAACCAGGGATACGGGGCCCGTCATATGGGTTGCCAAGCGCCATCCCAATCTCAGTCATCCCATACCGCTCCAGCAGTGTGTGCCCAGAGATTTCCTGCCACCTGCCAGTTGAAGCAGTGGAAGGGGGGAGGACGACAGTGGGGGTGAGAGGGATTGATGTAATTGATGTGATTGATGTGATTGATGTGATGGATGTAACGGATGTGGTTCAACCCCAACGCGCGCGACACATTGGCACACGTCTCGATGGGAGGTACAACAGCGCTTGCCACACACAGACACACACACGCACACACAGAGCACACACGCACGCACACACACACACACACACAACACGCACGCACGCATACACACACAACACGCACGCATACACACACACACACAACACGCACGCGTACACAGTACACACACATACACAGCGCGCACACACACACACACATACACAGCGCACCTGTGCATGACGGGGTCTGGCAGGGCGGCGGATCCGCTCACCATGAGATCAACGCGATCACACGCGCGGCGAAACGCGGCCTGCTCTTCGGCCGTGCGCGTGTCGTACTCGCGGATAAGGCGGTTGTAGATGGTGGGCACCGCCATGAACTTGGACGGCGCAGGCCTGGTGGTATCAAGGAGGCGGTTGTACACGGCGCCCGCATCAAACCTGGGGATCATTTCGCATGTGGCGCCCGCAGCAAGCGCGCACAGGAGCACGTTCACCACGCCGTGCACGTGGTGCAGCGGAAGGAAGTTGAGGATGTAGTCCGAGGGCTTCCATCTCCAGGCCGAGAGCAGGTTGCCCACGTGGTGCTCCAGGTTATCATGCGTCAGCAGCACACCTGATGTGGGTGTGTGGGAGGGGGAATGGCAGCCGTGTCGTGAGAGAATGCTAAAGATTGCAGCGGAGAGCGTTGCTGCTATCCCACGCATAAAGTGGCAACACGCACATTCACACGCTCGCACACACACACACGTTCGCACACACACACACACACACGTTCGCACGCGCACACACACACACACACACACACACGTTCGCACGCGCGCACACACACACACACACACACACACACACACACACACAAAATTGCACGCACGCATTACCTTTTGGACGACCCGTGGTGCCGCTTGTGTAGATGATGAGCGCACCCGAGTCACCAGCATCGGTTGGCGAGCCGTCCACGCGCTTCGAGGAGGCCAACATGTGCAGCAGGTGCTCATCGCCAGTGCGAATGAGCTCTTGGATGGGAGGCGATGTGACAACAGGCACGGCCGTGTCGTTTTCCGTGACAACGGAGGATGATGAGAGCAAGGACTCTGGCGCATCGCCCGGCTGCGTGAGAAGGACGCTGGAATCGGAGTTGCCGACGATGTAGCTGATGTCTTTCGATGTATGCGCGGAGCTGAGAGGGACGCATGTGCCGCCAGCCATCCACGTGCCGAGCATGGTGACCACATACCCGACGGACGGCCTCACCAGTGTTGCCACTGCGGGGGCAGTCTTTTGGCCCAGGTCCTGCCCCTCGCTTCCACCCGCTGCCCAAAGCCAATCAAGGGGCCGTGTCACCAAGAGAGAACAAAGGGAATACAATGAAGTGATGGTGATGGTGATGGTGATGGTGATGGTGACGGACAAACAGGGCAATGGAACAAGAGTTGAGCAGGTTGTGATTCGGTTAATCAAATCGTTCACACACACACACACACACACACACACACACACACACATCAGCCCACAACACATACACACACCAACATGCACACACACCAACAAACACAAACAAACACAAACAAACGGATGCACGTACACGCGCACTCACGAAGCCAGGATGTTTTGAGGTTGTGACTGACGGCAGCGCTGGCTGCCAAGATGTCACGATAGGAGTAGGCCTTTCCCCTCGCGGCGGCACCGGCACCGGCACCGTGTGCAGCAGTGGAAGCCGTGTCCACCACTGCCACGGTGTTGCTCAGGCGATGCGAGCCAAAGGTGGTGAGCAGCCTCCGCCACATCTCGCCGTTCTCGACACCACAAATTGATGAACGGCTTCGTGCGCTTGCTTCTTGCTTCCGCTTGTCCTTCACACCACACCGTACCAACACACCAACATCCACGTCTCAATGTCCGCACGTCTCGCTTTCCAGCAGCCCCACATATCATCACACATCACAAGGCATGGCCCCGCCTTCGCCTGCACCTGCGGCGATGGGGAGAACCGGAGCAGCAAGGATGACGACAACAGCAACAGCAGCACCAGCAGCACCAGCAGCACGGGCAGCAGAAATGGCGAATCGTGACGGGAAGAAGGCGCAGCTTGATGAAGGCCTTGGCGTCGTGGACATGAAAGGGCCCATGGTGCCGCAAGTGGCAAAGCTTGGCGACAAGTACTGGGAGTGGGTGCACAAGCCCTCGGCGCAGCGCAGCTACAGGCTGTTTGCCGGCGATCTGTATGAGTTCTTCTCGTGGACGCCGTGGTGGGTGATTCCCATTGTGTGGGTGCCCATCATCACCGCGCTGTCCATGGACGCGCTCGGCCGCCTGGACTGGAGCATGTCACCGCTGGCACTGGTGTCGCCGGCCATGGTGTCGACGCAGGTGCTGGCGCTGTGGCCGTTCCTCGGCATCTTCCTGACCGGGATCCTCATGTGGTCCTTCCTGGAGTACTGCCTGCACAGGTTCCTGTTCCACATCATCCTGTTCCCCGGCACGGCGTTTGGCATCCAGTTCCACTTTATCCTGCATGGGCAACACCACAAGTTCCCGCTTGACCGCGGGCGCCTGGTGTTTCCGCCGATGGCGGGCCTCATGATGACGGCGCCGTTCTACCTCGTCTTCCACCTCACCATGGCGCGCGAGGTGGCCAACGCCCTCACGGCGGGAGCGCTGCTCGGCTACATTGCCTATGACCTGACGCACTACTACCTGCATCACGGCCGCCCAAGCACGGGCTACTTCCAGCGCCTTAAGCGGCATCACATGCAACACCACTACCGCCACTCCACCCTTGGATTTGGCATCTCCAGCAAGCTCTGGGATTTTCCTTTCGCCACCCTCACGCCATCGTCGGCCACCAGAACATAACTTGCGTGTGTCGCGGTGTGTGTGTGTGTGTGTGTGTGTGTGTGTGTGTGTGTGTGTGTGTGTGTGTGTGTGTCGTGGTGTGTTGTGGTGTGTAACGTATGTGTGTGCGTGTGTCTGTCTGTGTAACGTATGTGTGTGCGCGTGTCTGTCTGTAACGTATGTGTGTGCGCGTATCTGTCTGTGTAACGTATGTGTGTCCGCGTGTGTGTGTCTGTCTGTCTCTGTCTCTGTCTCTGCCTCTGTGCGCTCGCCCCTTCTTCCCATCCGTTCCTGTTTGTTCCCCTTCCACCACATGCGTCTGATGAACATGTTATGATCGACCCACATGCGCCATGGCAGTGCTGCTCTCCCTTGTCTTTGTTCCTGTACTCTTACCCACTGCCACAGTGTCCCAACCACACACACACACACACACACACACACACACACACACACACACACACACACACACACACACACATGTGCACGACTATTGGGTGTCGACTCTTAGTTATACTCTCTGTGAACAGCCTTACACACTGACACCAAAACAAATGAATGGAAAGAAGGAAAGAAAGAAGCAAATGCTGATGAGAAAGAAGGGAGGAACACGGTGGGGTGTCTGACAAACCAGTGCCTCCCATCATCGGCGCGAGAACATGCAAGGGGACAACGAAGAACAGGAAGCAAAGCGAACAAGTGGGGGGGGGGTTGATAGACGCAACTGCAGCTAATGTGAAGGAAGGAATTCCGGCAAGGGGGAGACAAAGGAGGGACGATGAAACTTCACACACACACACACACACACATACACGAAGCTGCGTGTGGACTTGCACGGCAACGCCATGTGTGTGTGTGTGTGTGTGTGTGTGTGTGTGTGTGTGTGTGTGTGTGTGGTTGTGGCGCGCGGACGATGAAGGAATGGACAGGCAGTGAAAGAAACAGTTGGAGGGAGCGATGACAGGAGCAGAGACGGTGAAAGAAAACACGACGACAGCGGGCGAGTAACAAACATCATCAATCCGCGTTACAGCGAACGGACACGAACAGCAGCAACACCACAGCATTACACCACCACCACACGCTCAGAGCACCACCGGAACACTGACACAGAACAGTTCACATCGCGTGACACACGATAGGCCACACTGGCAAGGCCCTCACGACACACCCGACAACCAGGGCGCACTGTACAAAGAACCGCCCACACACACACACACACACACACACACACACACACACACACACACACACACACACACACACACACAACGATGGGCGCAGGGGTCAGTGCCTGTCTGCTTTGGCCTTTTGTCTGCATGTGTTGTTGAGGTGTTCCGCCCACTTCTGGCACTCTGCCGCTGTGTCGCAGTAGATGTGGTATGTCCGCTGGTTTGTTGGCAGGGAGAACCTGCAAGATTGCGGCGCATCCCGTGGCCACGATGTCAGCAACTCTGTTGTCTCTCCCTGGCACACATCCACAAAGTCCTCAATCACGCCCTTGAAGCCATCCCTCGGGTACACTTTGGAGTTGTTGATGGCATAGTAGTACAGCCGCCCTATCGCAGATAATAGTGTCATTGGAAAGGAGGAAGGAAAGGAGGGCATCGAGTGCAGGGAGTGTTAATAAGAGCGAAGAAAGTGAAGGGTGTGTTGTGTAAAGAGGTAGCAAAGAGCAGAGGGGAAAGTGTTGGCCACGGAGGTCACTTCATGTGAAGGTGGGCACAGCACGCACCCCCCCCCCCAGAGCGAACGACAAACTCACTCACAAACACACACGCACCACACGCACTTACTCGCACACACATACACAACACACACACGCACGCAACACACGCACGTACTCACACACAAACAACACATACAGACACCACCCCAGCACACTCGCGCACACGCGCGCAAAAGCACACCACATCCCCACACACAACGGGCTGATTCATGCTTACCATCTGTTCTCAAGATCATCCATCTCCGCTTCCAGTTTTTCACGACGCCACCTTGCTTGTAGCAGGGGCCTTGGAACACGATGCCTTCTTCCTCCATGTTGCGCGGTGGACGACACAGCCCCCAAGAAGATGAAGAAAACGGGAAGCACGAAGCTACGACAACCCACAAGTTAAACTCGCAGAGAAGAACTGCCTGCACAGCCTCGCCTCACAACCTCAGCGAAGGCAGACAACACAAACAAGGACAACACGTCTGTTGCGTACACGTTGAAGTATGAAGAGACGCGCGTGGGAAGTGATGCGGGTGTGAGATGAAGAGGGGGCGATGAAGGAGATGCGTGCGACACGACAAGCAACAAGCAAGCGATGCGCGCTGTGCGTTCTGCTGTTTCTTGTGTTGGAGGGTGAGATGGATTTGGTGGATGCACTATTTGTAGGACAACTGTCCTAAATCTAGGACGCACTGCTAACGGCACAAAGACAAGAAGGCAGGCCAACCAACCAGGACACCAAGCAAGCAAGAAGGGAGCGAGTGATGGTGGGTGGTGAGCTGTGTGGGTGCCTGCGGCTGCTGGTGTCTGTGTCCGACTTTGAGAACATTGATCTGTTTGAAAAGGGCACGTACTCTGTGCGCGTACGTGTGGTGAGCAACGCAGCTCGGCCGCAGCAGCTGCAACAGCTAAACAAGCCCAAAGGGGCGCACGCGCGCACGGATCAGCAACACCACCCCCAGCACCAACAGCAACAACAACAACAGCAGCAGCCTCTTAGTTGCCCCAATGCTGTGTCCACGCTGACTGGCCTTTTTGCCTCGTGTAAGGACAAGCGGCCGCTCAACACTACGGATGCGCCCGTCCTTGCTGATGCCCTACCCATCGAAAGCCCACGTCGACGCAACCTCGCCCTCGAGTTTCGCTGTGGTACGTGCAGTATGTGTGTGGGCGGGTGGGTGTGTGTATGTGGGTGTGGGTGTATGTGTGTTTGTCTGAGCGAGTGCGCTTTCCTATGCCAGTTCAAACAGTGGCTAAGTTTGCGTGTGACTGTCTCACCTCACCTCACTATCACGACGTTCACACACACACCACCACGACCAGGCCACTTTCCTGGCTCGGGCCGGCTTGTTCCAAGCAGCCCGTCGTCCATCACAATGGAGACCAAGACGTTTTTTGTCAAGTGAGTGTGCTTGAGCCAACGTTTCCTGATGTGATGTGGCCCACATATGACAACCACCTGTGCCTTTTGCATCACCACCAACACATACACTCACTCACTCACTCACTCACTCACTCACTCACTCACTCACTCACTCACTCACTCACTCACTCACTCACTCACTCACTCACTCACTCACTCACTCACTCACTCACTCACTCACTCACTCACTCACTCACTCACAGGTACAAGAGGGACTTTTGCCACTTTGACACAGCGCTGTCGTGCACTGCATTCACGCCGCTACACCACCTTCTCATCCCAAATCACGTGAGTCTTACTTGTGCGTGCGCTCTGCTGACATGTACAAACACGTCCACCCGCACACGTCCACCCGCACACGCTACACAGCTCTGATGCCTCGCACCTCTCAACTCAACACACCCCCCCCCCGCACACATACACGCTGTACATACTGCCAGGCCCCCATATCCATTGTGCTTGAGCTGCTGCTCGCTCGCGAGGGCGATGGTGGCGACGACGCCACTGCAGCAGAGCAGGATGTGCTGGCAACGCGAACCATCAACGTGTGGGGGCTCTCCTGCCTGCAGCGCCTGTGGGCCGACACGGTGGAGTTTGACTTCCTGCACATGTGCGGCGTGAAGGTGATGGTGTCATGTCTTCTCACGGGGATATGCGCCCCAGCGTCACCGTCTCGCCCGCCACCGACGCCGCAGCAAATGTACGCACGATAAACACGATGCTTGGTGGAGGTGGTCGTGATGGCGATGGGTTTGTTGTTGGTGGATGGTGGTAATGTGTGCTTTGTTGTTGTTGGTCTGTGGTTTGTTGGTGGTGGATGGTGGTCATGTGTGTGTGTGTGTGGTATGTGGATGTATTTGCTGGTGGTGACCTGTTAATGTAGTTGCAGGTTGTAACTTGTGTGTGCTCTGCTGCACGAGTCCAGACACCGTCCACTTTGTGGTTCACAGTTGACACGTATGCATGCCTTACTTGTTACTGCTGCACATGTTGTGCAGGAAACGAAGCGAGACACTGCAAGCGCAGCTTGAGGACGCCCTGTTGAACATTGTCACGCCCTCAGAAACGGCTTCCGCCACACCAAAACCCAGCACGAACCCTTCTTCATCAACACCCTCAGCATCAGCATCAATGTCATCATCAGCAACACCATCGACAGCAGAAGCGCCTGTGGTCCGCTTCCATCAGCTCCGGGCGGCGCTCGCTGCTCTCCTCTCCTTCACCGTCACCGCCCTCGACTCGCAGCACGACGTGCACAGCATGCAGCCGCTGCACGGCCAGACCGCAGGATCCAGCACCCGTGCCACCGCCAACTCTTTACCACCACCACCATCATCATCAGCCCCAACACCGGCCCACGTGATCAGCGGCCTGGCCACCGCCCGCGGTGCGCTGTCCGGTATGCTCGAGACACCAGACCTTGACGAGCGCGATGAACACGTGCGCCCGCGACACCACACCGCCCTCGCTGCTACCGGTCGCAATGATGGTGGCGATGGCAGCAACAGTGGTGGCGGTGGTGGTGGTGTGCCCATGTACAGTATTCGTGCCCTCACCACGCAGCTCGTGGACATCTATGAAGCCCTGGATGACGCCGTGCTTGGGCTGCACGTGCTCGGTGCCCACAGCGCGCGGTTGCGCAATTTGGCGACGCGTGCCTGCAGGCAACACATGCATCGGCTGCTGGCGTGCGGCGTGTATTCGCGCGATCTGCCCACTGGACAACTGGTCCTGGAGAGCGCAACGGATTTTGGTGGACACAAGCCGGTGGACCTGGCACAGCTTGTGTTCCGGCAATCATCAGCCATGTACACCAGCAACGCAGCCCTCCACCCAGTGAGTGGTCGTTGTTCTGGTGCTGCTACGAGTGTGTATGTGTGTATGCAAGTGTGCGTACGTGTGTGTGTGTGTGTGTGTGTGTGCGCGCGCGCGTGAACAGTTGCACGCGTATGTGCTTGTGTGTATGCTTGAGTGGTTCCGCGTTTGCCCCATTCCGCTGCTTTATGTGACTTACATCCCACCACCGCCACCGCCGCCGCCGCCACCATCACCGCGTGTTCAGGTGTTTTCAGTTGCAGAAGACGCGACGCGGCCTGACGAGACGGCTGCGCTCTTCATTGAGCGGCTGACGGCGCCGTGGTCCAGCCCGCGCTGCGCAACAACACGCGCATCGTCTCTCTGTTCCACTCGTCCACAGACACCGCGCAAGGGCCCGCCCACACCCGCGCACGCCCCACACCGCGGGCAGCGGCAGGGTGATGGGGATTGGCAGCCAGAGCATTCTGGAAACAGGAGGAGAGAACTGTTTTCAACCAACAGTGACAACGGTCGTGATGAAGATGGTGGTGGTGGCGATGATGGTGAAGGTGAAGGTGAAGATGGCTCGAAGATGATGCTACTGCGGTCCCCAAAACACCACATGTACGGGCGCAACACCACGGCCAAACTGGCAGACACTCGAGGCATTGTCGACCTGGCATACGACGACGACGACGACGATGCTGGTGGTGTTGATGTTGATGATGATGATGATGATGGTCGGGAAAGAGGAAGTGCAAGCCCTGATGACAGTGTGTATGGGTTTCGAGGGCTAGCAGATTTGAACACGACGGTTGCCACGAGCGAGGCGGTGGTGATGGCAAATGATGCGGGTGAAGACGACGACCACACTGGTGTGGATGTGTTTGTCAGCACCAACCACTATGACGCCAACATCAACGACACCAGCGTTCTGGTCGAGCAGCACGATGATAAGAATGACGACGACGACGATGATGATGATGATGATGGTGAAGGAGAAGGTGGTGGCGGCGACAGCTCTGCTGACGCGTCTGATATTGATGTTGACGCCATCATTCTGAGCGGAGACCAATCCGATCACCAACCCCTCGTGCAAACCAACAACAACAACAACAACAACAACAACAACAACAACAACAACAACAACAACAACAAGTATGGTGGTGGTGCACGGCGTGCGAGCGCACATGACAGCGATGCCGCTGGATGCGGGTGCGGGAGTGGGCGGTGGCCGTTTTCGCGCATTCGAAGTTCGCGGCGCAAGAAACGACACAACCGCAAGCATGCCAACAACAACACCCACAAACACCAGCACCACCACAACCACGGCAACCACCACAGTCATGGTACCCACAATCAGCACTACCACCACCATCGCGACCGCGAGCGGCAGCAGCGCGGCAACCCGTACGTGCACGGTGCGCTGCCAGCAACACCAGCACGGGAAGCAGCTGCAGCAGACGGGATGGCCGTGTCACGCAGCATCGACGGTACCAGCACCACCGCTGGACGGGAGGGCGATGCGTCCACAGCCAGCCATCATCATCACCACCGCCACCGCCACCGCCACCGCCAAGCGAGCACTGCATCCGTGGCGTCTGCGGTGAGTTCAGGCGGGCGGCAGCGCAGGACTCCCAAACAGCTTCGCGGCGGCGTTTCAAAAGCTTCCTCCAGAGGTTCACTGCAGGAGCGCGTGCTGATGACGTCACAGGTGCGTGACCCGGTAACGGCGGCGCTGGAGACACTGCCGCTCTCCCCGGCGGCTGCGGATGTGTTGGCGGACACGATGGCCCTCAGAATGGCCCTGTCGGCGCCGTGTGTCACCCTGCCGTCACTCGATGCTGCATCAAACACGACGACAAGCGCCACCAAAGGCACCGAGACAGCCACTTCAACCACAACCACTTCAGCAGCAACAGCAACAACGACCACGCCAGACGTGAGCGCACAGCCTGCCAGCGCCAATGCTGCTGACGTGCGGTTACAGCAATTGCCGTCGGTGCTGCCGGGTGATGTGTTGCGACAGCTGGACACGGGGGAGCGGCACCTCTTTGTGTGTGTGCACGGGCTGGAGGGTAACCAGTACGATCTGCGCAACGTGCGGCTCAAGATTCAGCAGTGGCTGCCTGATGCAACCTTCCTCATGTGGAGCGATGACGACACACACAAGGGCATTCCCCTTCTGGCAGAGAGCTTGATTGTGGCGGTGGAGTCTGCCATGCACAAGCACGACCCGATGCACGTGTCCTTTATTGGCCATTCGCTCGGGAATCTTGTCATCCGCCATGCCCTCTCCTCGCCTCGCCTCGCTGGTTTGTTCGAGGATGGAGGGCACACCGCCAACAGCAGCAACAGCGACAACAACAACGACAACGGTAACGACGCTCATGCAACAACAGCAGCGGCATCATCATCATCATCATCAGCACAATCATCATCATCATCATCAGATTCGAAAGCAAGAGGCGATTTGAGCCGGGCGCGGGCGAGTTTGCTGGACGGCGCTGGCAGCGCTGCCAAGGCCAAACTGCACACGTACATCTCCTTCTGCGGGCCGCACTGTGGGGCGGTGTTCCTGTCTGGGCTCGTCAACACGGGTCTGTGGTTCATGAGCAAGCTCACACGGTCCACCTCCATGCCGCAGCTGCAGTTCAAGGACGC